TCTCTCTCTCACACACACACACACACACACACACACACACACACACACACACACACACATGTGCCAGGTACTAACCTCTGAAGATGGCGCCATGCTGCAGGTACCTCGAAGGCGAAGCTGGAGCTATGGCGCTGCAGGTAAGTCTCCCTGGCCTCCACCAACTCTCTCTCTCTCTCCCTCTCTCCAGTGCTACTCTAGCTCCTACTAGCGCCCAGGGCTGAAGACTACTGCTAACGCTACTACTACTACTGCAGCGCTCCTCCAGAGTGCTGCTGCCGATCCTGAAGACTACCTCCTGCCTCCTGAACTGCACGTGAAGTGCCTGGGAAGTCCCCTATGAACTACCTGCAGCCTGCAGGGCGGGCCAGTCTTATATGGTGCTGGCCCGTCCAGGAGGCTGCTCTTGCCAACGCCAAAAAGTGCCAGACCCTGGCGTCGAAGTTCAAACAAAGGTTGTCTTGAAAACAGGCCCAAAATGGCCTGTGCTACAACCCTGGTCTGGTGCCTAAGTCTCAGGGCAGGTCGATCTTATGAGGGCCTGAAAATGGCCCTCCATTTCAGGCTGAAAAGACTCAGGGCCTGGAGGGCCCTGTTTTAGGCTGAAACGACACAGGGCCTGTAGGCCCTTGTTTTCAGGCTTTCAGGCTGAAACGACCCAGGGCCTGAAAATGGCCCTCGTTTGCAGGCGCATCATGTAACAATACTCTGACACAGAAACTTCTTTTCTTTCTTTGGTTGCTATTCTATCCCTCATGGCGCTTCCATGTCTATACTTAATCGCTCAAACAAGTTCCTAGTCGTTGGAGATCGTAGATTCTGCTGGTTTGTTTGTTCCAGTAACTTCCACCTTTATCTTACCCCTCGAGAATGTGTTTTCAGTGACTTTTCACCAGAGACAGAGAGTTGCCAACACACTTTAAAATTGAAATCACACTCGTTTTTGTCTACCTTACCCATCAATCGAAGTGTTGTTTAAGTCGACTCCTTGCTGCTATTGTTTTATTGCGTGGGAGTCCATGGAAAAGGTTCAAGCAACCTGTGAAATTTGGCCCAGCCAATACCCTTTTTTCAGAAACTAATCTATCTGGATGGTTTTCCTTCCCAGGAACGTGTCTTTTTAAGAGGGGGACCATTTGGTCCGTTTCTCGATTTATGCATTTCATCCTTGTGCAGAGGCCATGCTGTCTCATCTGCATCATCCCTGTTTTAGTGGATGTTCCCCCTGGGAACCGTCCTTCGGGAAAAAGAATAGCTGGCCCTCCGACGAATAAAGAAAAGAAAAATGACCCTCCTGATTCAGTTGGAAACGGGATTATAGGTGCTCGTAGCATATCATGGGGTACTTTTTCACTGAGAAAGGAGTACTAAGGACAGTTGCTGGGAATGTAAATCACGTGATGGCTTGGTTTCCAAAACCGCATGTTATGCTATGGAAGTTGTATTGGATACGGCAGTGCAAGTGCCCAATTGTATTCCAAACATAGCGAAACTTGTGGAGCCAACTCTCTTTCTGATGATCCCGTCCGACAGAACACAGTGCAATCATAGAAAGAAACAAAGAGGTCAAGAGATGACGGCTAAAAGACTTCAAACCATCATTGACGCACATTGGGCATATTCCGACCTCGAAGCAGAGGCAAGTCAAACTCCTATCACCACTTCAGCACTTATGGAAAGAAAAAAGAACAAGGATTGAAGAACTTCAGTTTCAAACCGTAATCTCCCTCTGTTCAAGAATCTCCTCCACTATTCCATCACCTCTCTGTTTATGTCTCGCTCAGATATGAAGTCAGCAACTTCTTCATTTCTGACATTTGCAGTCTATGCTTCTCTGAGAGAGAGAGAGAGAGAGAGAGAGAGAGAGAGAGAGAGAGAGAGAGAGAGAGAGAGAGAGAGAGAGAGAGAGAGAGAGAGAGCACTCCCTGCATCCCTTTTGGTAGCTTCTATGAGATCGCAGACATCGACTGTAATGCAGGATCCCTTCGTTTATGCTCTGCCCCAAGGGATACCGAGCTTTCCCAGCTGCACCAATTTTCTTCCAGTAGTCTTCCTGCAGCCAAACTATTTTGGCAGCTATGGCGAGCCACTTCTACATCGATTCATCAAAATGGTCAGTGAGCTAGTTTCTTCTCTGGTCTTCTGCTCTCCTAGCCTAGTGACTAATAATGGAAGCATCGCTCCAACATTCTGGCACTCTAGCCACACAAAATCTCAAGGCAGAATGTTGTCCACTCTCTTCCCTTCGTTGTGTAGCTCGAAAGTCCGTAGATGTACCAGTCCTCTCCCTCAGCCATTTAGATGTAGTATGATCAAGGAACTGAGGTGAGAGATGGTTAACGTATACATACATTTTCAGGTCCCCTTATATTCCCAATGGTTTCAGGTCGGTACGATAGTTTCAGGCTGATCTTGGATGCTTGGATGGAGGGACCTGAAACGGGTTTCAAAAGCTTCAGACACTTCAGGTCATGGGTGTTGTAGGCTTGGATGGAGGGACCTAGGAACGCTTTCAGAAGCTCCAAACACTTCAGGTCGGTTTCAAACAGGTGTTGGGTGTTTGGATGGGGGGATTTCAAAGCGGTTTCAAAAGCTTCAACCACTTCAAGTCATTTCAATAGTTTCAGGTCTCCCCACCCATAACTGTTGAAATAACCTGAAGTGGCTGAACCTTCTGAAAGCGGTTTCATCTGCTAAGTTTCAACCACTTCAAGGCATTTCAACGGTTTCAAATCAATGACTAATGTGGGGGGTGGGTGGGGCAGTTGAAACTGTTTTTTTTAAGAAGGTTCGGCCACTTCAGGTCATCGCCGCGGTTTAGACGACTGTTGGGTGTTTGGATGGGGGGACCTGAGAGCTGTTTCGTAAGCTTCAGCCACTTCAGGTCATTTTAGTGGTTTCGGGTCCCCCCATTCAAAACTGCTGAAATGACCTGAAGTGGTTGAACCTTCTAAAAGCGGTTTCAGCTGCCCCCATCCAAGCATTAGAGATCGGTGCAGTTTGAAACTGCTTTCAAAAGTTTCAGCCACTTTAGGTTATTTCAACGGTTTCAGATCGCTGATTGATGCTTGGGTGGGGGCAGCGGAAACCAGTTTCATAAATTTCAAACACTTCAAGTCATTTCAGTCGTTTCAGACTGATGTTTGTTGCTTTGGTGGCAATTAAACAAATTTCAAATAGGTTAAAAATTCTTAAGAAATAAAAAGAAATTACAAAACAAAATGAAAACGCAGGTTTCAGAGGACCCTACCTTTGAAAATCCCACATTCAGACATGAAAACATCTGAAACAAAACACTCTTTTTCAGATTTGAAATGCACTTAATTTGGTTCAGATCTGGAAATTCGAGGACCCGTTAACCATTTGTGACTTCCATATAAGTTCGAAGCTCAGACACACAATGCTTCTGCCCCTTTTTTTTTTCATGCTAATCTTTTCTGTATCATTCCAATTTTAACGGATGTCCCGAAGGACAACGCTTCTGCCTTCTGATAAACGAAAGCTCATAAAACATCATGCATTTTACCTGCCTTGTGGTTGAATGCTATACAAATGTAACTATTAATACACGCAGACCACGAGTTCATATCTTTTTTTTTTTTTTTTTTTTTTTAACAAAACCAGTTCAGTGTCACTAGGCAAGGTGATACGAGCAACCTCCCCTAGTGCGCAGCCCGGTTGCTCCAATCCATTGGTGGGGAGCCTCACGTGCTGGAAAACGGGTCCAGCGTCCCACTTGAACATTTTATAAGTTGCAGATGGTAAGATGGTATCTGGCTGCCAGCATTGCCTGCCCTGGTGAGACTGGGGGTTAACTGAGCAGCTATGCCTATTTAACAAAATTTTAATAAAATTGCTGC